TAGTTGGACTTGTAGGCTTGGGACCATGGTTGCAGGGGACATCAAGCTCAATAGGTATAACATACTACACAAAAACATTGTTCCACATCCTACTTTGGTGAGTAGAGACTGGGATCTTAAAAGCTTGCAAGTGGCCATCTAGATCCAATTATGGGTCTCTCCTCATCCAGAGCAAAGAAGAATGAAGAAAACCAAAGATGCATGGAAACAATTAGTCCAAAGGACTAGTCGACCATGTGGTACTCAGCCTATATGACCATGAGACCACAAGAACTAGATGGTGCCCAGCTATCACTGCCAACCACTCAGAGAGGGGATGGGTGCAGGAGATCCTGGATAGAGTGGGAGAACAATGTGGAACAAAACTCAAAATCACTTAAAAAAATAAAAAAGAAAAAAAGACCAAGTTTGCTAGTCTGATAGAGTTTGGTGAGACCCCTGACACTATGACCTCTGTTGTTGTTGTTGTTATGTGCCATCAAGTTGGACCCGACTCATAGCAACCCCTCCTTGGGTTTCCGAGGCAATATCACTACAGAAGTAGATTGCCCCGTCTTCCTTCCGAGGAGTGGCTGGTGGGTTTGAACTGCCAGCCTTCTGGTTAGCAGTCAAGTGCCTTAGCCACTATGCTACCAGAGCTCCTACTATGACCTCTAGTTATCCTTTTGATCTGGAACTGAACTCACTCCTGTGGCTTCCAGCCAAATAATAGACAGGCATATGGGGTAAACATTTACATCAAGTAGATACACTCCTTGGAGTGATCAATAGTGGAAGAACAGAAGGGCAGTGTTTGCACAGGGAGAAAGCTGGGTGGGGGGAGGAATGCATGGGAAGGAAGGACACAGGGAAGAGGTAACTATAGGGAAGAGGTAGGAAGAGAGCTGTTACATTTGGGGAATTGCAGTCAATGTCATGAAACAAAATGTGTATGAACTGCTGTATGGAAAATGAATTTGCTCTGTAAACTTTCACCCAAATCACAATAATAAACAAAAAAAGAATATTAAATGTCCTACTATGTACTTTTCCTCCAAACATTGTCTTTCCTCAACTTTTGAATTGTCCAGGCTTCAAGAAACTCATTTTATTTTAATGACAGCATTTCTTCCTATTCTCTGCTATTTTACTTCTCCTCTAAGGTAGCATCAACTGTCATTTTAATCTCCTTCTTAAAATGGTCCTTTGATGTCTCTGTTATATTTGGAGTTAGCTTTGAAGACTATTTCTTTTTCCTTTACTTTACGGACAAGTTTTTCTTTCTTTCTTTTTTGCCAATACTCCTCTGGATTTTGCCTTGTGTTTCCTCACTACTGAGGAAGATTGAGAGATGCAAAGTCAATGAATTGAGGCCGATAAGACCATCCATCATTCAAACAAATTCTGTTCACCTTTACCTACTAAACTGGATAATTACACACAGGAGAATTTATCTCATATGCCCAACATCTTTTGTTGTCCTGGAATGCCTATTGTCCTAGCTGGTTTCCCTTTAGGTCATGATGCCCCTACCACTCTGCAATTTGCCTTAGATTTTTCACTTTATTACCGACTCAGTCCTATTTCCTTAGGGCATGGGCAATATCTATATACTCACCTATGATATATTCACCTTATAAACTCACCTAAGAAAGCTTGAAGTGTTTCATGTCATCCCTATATTCCTAGCTCAAATCTTTCTACATACTATTGTGGTAGTTAAGGTTTGAGTGGCTGGGCAGCTGGATGTAGTATTCCCTATGACGAGACTGGTAATCAACTCCATGGTGGAATGTACTGTGAGCAGCTAAGTAGCTGCCTTAGGGATGTGGTCTGCTCCCAGTATATAAGGAGAAGTTTTAGGAATGGTCTGTAGCTTTTGGCACACTTGAATCTTGCATGTAGCCGAGTTGTTGTTCAGCAGCCTCCCATGTTGTTTGCTGATCTTGGAACTCTTTTTTTTTTTTTTTTTATTGTGATGTGGGTGAAAATTTACAGAGCAAATTCACTTTCCATACAGCAGTTCACATAATCACATATACTTTGTCTTATGACATTAACCACAATTTACCTCAATGCAACAGCTCCCCTCCTACTTCCTCCTGATAGTTACCTCTTCCCTGTGTCCATCCCTCCATGTACTCCTGACCCCTAAGCTGTCTCCCTGTGCATAAGCAACCCTTCTTTCTCCCATGATTGTTCTCTCCAAGGAATGTATCTACCTCAGGTAAATGTTCAACTCATATGCCTGTCTATTGTTTGGCTGGAAGCCACAGGCATGGGTTCAACTCCAGACCTGAAGGGCAGGTAGGGGCCATAGTCTCAGTGGTTCCACCAGGCTCTATCAGACCAGCAAACCTGGTCCCCCCCCTTTTTTTTTCTCCAAATGATTTTGAGTTTTGTTTTACATTGTTCTCCTTCTCTATCCAGGGATCTTGGAACTCTTAATGGATTTGAATCAATGACCTGCCATATGGTTTGGTAATATTGAGACCACACCTTTTTACTTGTTGACCTTGAGTTTGTCAGCCTCAGCAGCCAGCAGCTGTCTGAGTTAAGAAAAGCCTCTAGCTTCAGTGGGCCAGGAGCAAGAGACAGAGCTGAAGTCCAAGGGTGAGGGGCTTTCATCCAGCCCCTAGAACCTGGCACTTTGAACTCGATTTCTAGCCTCCAAAACTGTAAGAGAATAAACTCCTATTTGTTAAAGTCACCCATTTGTGGTATTTTCTGTTACAGCAGCACTAGGTAACCAAAACAGAATGCAATCTCTTAGTTTAGTTGGTTGCTTCCTGGGTGGTGCAAATGGTTAACTTGCTTGGCTGCTAACTGAAAAATTGGGGGTTCAAGTTCATCAGAGGTGCCTTAGAAGAAAGGCTTGGCCATTACTTCCAAAAAATCAGCCATTGAAAACCCTGTGGAGCACAGTCTACTCTGACACACACAGGGCTGCCAGGAGTTGGAGTTGACTTGACAGCAATTGGTTTTAGTTCAGCTGTCTCAATTTCTTAAAAGGAAGGGGGTCCTCCCTAAATGTTCCTCTTTTAGTCTATCTTCCTGCAGCTTTAAGAGGACAATTTAAAATTCTTTTCTGAATCCAGGTTTCCTGTGAGCTAATCATTATCATTTACTTACACTCTTAACTTGTTTGTTGTATCTGATTTAATAACAATGAATTATAGTTGTCATAATTAAACGTATAATATATGTGTGTATATATACATGTATGTATAATCATAGTTCTCATGGTTATAAGGAGTTCTGGTGGCATGGTGGGTAAGGCATTTGGCTGCTAACCAGAAGGTCAGCGCTTCAAAGTCACTAGCTGCTCCATGGAAGGAAGATGGGACAATCTACTTCTGTAAAGATTTACAGCCTCGGAAACCCATGGGAGTTGCTATGTGTCAGAATCGACTGGATGGTAGTGAGTTTGGTTTTGGTAATCATAGTTTCAAATGACAACTTGTTTTTTGTGTGTCACTGAGTCTGTTTTCAACACAGCAACTGTAAAAGACAGGGTAGAACTACCCCGTAGGGTTTTCTTGGCTATGTTTATGAAAGCAGATCACTAGATTTTTCTTCAGTGGAGATGTTGGGTGGGTTCAAACTGCAAACATTTCTATGGGCAGCCAAGAGCTTAAGCTTTGCACCAAGGGGGCTTCTAAATGAAAGCTTGTTGTTGTTATGTACCCTCAAGTCATCTCCAACTCATAGTGACCCCTCGTTGGGTTTCCAAGGAGGTATCTCTACAGAAGTAGATTGTCCAACCTGCCTTCCAAAGAGTGGCCGGTGGGTTTGAACCGTCAACCTTCTAGTTAGCAGTCAAGTGCCTTAGACACTATGCCACCAGACCTCCCTTATACCTGTGGAAATAAAGAAGACCACCAAAACAAGAATAAGAAAAGGGTATTTATTCAGAGCTTGCCACAGTGACAGAGCTTTGATGGTGCAGTGGTTAAGGCATTGGCTGCTAACCAAATGGTGAATGGTCAAACCCACCAGCCACTCTAGGGGAGAAAGAAGGCAGCCTTCTTCCATAAAGATTTACAGTCTTGGAAACTTAAGAGCCAGTTCTGCTCTGTTCTATAGGGTTGCTGAGTGGAATCAACTTGATGGCAGTGGGTTTGGTTTTTCTTTTGTACTACAACAAGGAAGCCAGTTACCATCACTAGAGGTTTGGCAGAGACTCAAAGGCAGGCAGTAGAATTGGAAAGTTTTGTAATGGAAAAAAGGGAAGGCTTCAGAAACACCTTAGTTTGAGGCTGCTGACATGGGGAAGCTGGAGGCAGGCTAACTAGGAGTGTGGCATTTTATGTGCTTGGCTAGGGCAGTATTTTTTACTTTCCATGGTTGGAAATTGGGCAAGAGTTGGAACGTGGGCAAAAATTATGGAAGCTGGCAGTTATTGATCAAGTCCTGATTATTTGGACAGATTTCTGCAGATGTGGTGGTTTTTGCTGCCCTGGGCTGGTTGCTGCAAGTTGTGGGTCAGAGTTCTATTTTTACATAATCTGGCCATTTTCCATTTGTACACTCAGTCTCTCATACCATATATGACTTCTTTTCCAATGTATTTATCTCTAACCTGGTCTTTACTGCATTAATTTCTTCTGTCTGTAAAACAGAAAAAGAAGGCTTTAAAAATAATTCAGTAATCAAAGAAAATTGATTCTCAAAGTGTTTATAGCACAAGCCTCTTGAATTACCTTATGTAAAAATAGAAGTCATTAGGCAAATGATACATTTGCAGTTAACTTATTTAAGCACAGTTGGTAAGTCAATCTCTGTAGAGATATTGCATGAATGTACTTTTAACAATGTAATTTTCCTACTGTATTTATAAAAAGCAGCATTGACAAAGACTTGTTTTTAATCAAGTGTCACCAAATCAGTTCAGGAATAAAAGCAGAATTAATTTTGTAATCGTATCCAATCCTACTATAATTTTAAACAAAAATTTACTTATAAATTGTATTTTAAAAAAAATTCCTAAAGGGAATATTATGTCTTTCTTCCCAATGCAGGGAAAGGCTGGGGCTGCTGCCTGGAGAATTGGGTGGTGTCTGATACCAGCTGCTACTTTACTTCTTCTGAAAGGAAAACTTGGAATGAGAGTGAGAAGAACTGCTCTGGGATGGGAGCTCATCTGTTGGTGATCAAAGCAAGGAGGAGCAGGTACTCTTTAACAGACCATGAAGCAGGAGCCATGCCTGGGGTTTATACATCTCTTCAGGCTGAGAGGAGGCTTTTACTGTTCTGGGATGCTGGTGCTTGGCAGAAGCCTTTTAGGAAAGTAAATAGAAGAAGGTCCTAAGCTTTTGCATTCTACACCTTCTTCCTGCTTTAATCAAACCACTCCCGAAAGAAATCGGTCCATTTAAAATATAACATGTGGGAGTTGAGTGAGAGGATGAGAAAATTTCAGTCTGAAATATCAGTTTATTCTTTCAACATGTGTTTTTGTACATCATTAACTACTTAACAAAGAAGGGGTATGAAATGGTATAGAGAAAGAAAGTTGAATCTTGAGAATCACAATCAACAATCTGAAATAAAGTTGAAGCATCTCTGAAGTTGTGAAAAAAAAAAAAAGATTAAATCTGTAAACACTGTCTCTGCACAACTTTGAAGACTGTTGTTTCTTAGAGAAGAAAAGAGGAAAATGAGTATGAGATTAGAACTCATATGATCATGGTTAGAACTCTCTCCCAAAAGTTCACAAGTGATGTATTGGATCCTGCCCTGCTCAGCCACAGAAGTCCTGTGATCATGGTCAGGGGCCATCTGGCTTTCTCTGGTTCCTGTCTTTTCTTCTTTTTTCTCTATAAGAAACTCAGTACAACCTAAGTACTCTAAAGTCTGTGATTCCGTTCTTTTCTTCTCTCAGCAACTAATATTACAGAAGCTGGATAGAAGATTTGCTTATTATGTAGGGCTGTCGGTCCCAGAAGGGATGCGCCAGTGGCAGTGGGTAGATCAGTCACCATACAATGGAAGTGTCACGTGAGTACAGAATGTAATAAAAGAATCCTAAATCCTGGGCCATACTGGGCCATTCTCAGCTCTCAGCAACCATCTCAACAACAAATAAACATAATATTTTTTAAAAAAACAGGTCTGTTTGACACCAAAGCCTATGCTTTTAACCACATTTCCATCTCTAAATAAAAGAACAAATTAATGTCATTTAAGATCATAATTAATAAGATTTAATATTTGTCATAAAGCAAAAATACTAAATTCTGATAATCTTGTAACTCTTATTTATGTAGTTTTTAAAGAATTTTCAAGTGCTTTAGAATACATTACCACCTTTGATCCTCACACCAACTTTGTTTAACATGTACGAATAGCACTTAATTCTCGTTTTTAGATAGAAAACCCTAGACTCAGAGAAATTTAATTACTTACCCAAGATAACAGGGAGTAAGTAGCAGATCCAGAGACCTTAACTATTTCTCCAGACTTCAAAAGCCATGTGTAAAGAACAAACTGCACTGATACTCGGGACCAGGCAGAACTTCTTCATTGCTTAAGGATTGGCGTCCTATGGGAATGGGAGAGAAGAATCAACAAGTAGACAGGAGCCTCTAGGACAGCTGGTTGGAGAATGTTTAATGTGTCCTGAGTTGCTTCAGGTGGCAGAATACTGGGTATGTGGGCACAAATTTCAAGGGAAATGTCAGAGACACAGAAGGGAAAAGATGCTCAAACTTGAATGTTTTACGAAAGGAGGCAGAAGTGGGGATGGAATGATTGGACATATCTGACTTGGACTCCACACTCTTCAATCCTAGCTCCCTTGGTCTCTAACCCATTTCAAAGCACACTTTGAAGGAATAGCCTCATCCTTTTTCTCTTTTTCAGATTCTGGCATCCAGGTGAACCCAATAATCCTGATGAGCGTTGTGTCATAATAAATTATACTGGAAATGAGCGCTGGGGCTGGAATGACAATCATTGTCATGAACCTGAACACTTAGTTTGCGAGTTGATGAAGATCTACTTATGAGTGGAACATTCCCATTCCCCATGGACATATAGTTGGGTTGGCATCTACCATGAAAAGAATACCTAACTAATCTGCTCTTTTTGTTTATATGTAAATCTTGTGTAAGTGATATCCACAGAATTTGTCAGTAGGCTTTCACCTATTCTACTTATAATAGAATCAGTTCACACATTCAGCCATAAATGTACATTTATTGAGCACATCCCATGTTCCAGAGAATGTACTAAAGAGCCCTTTTGTGGATACATGGAAGGAGAATTAAACTCTTTCTTAATTTCTATCTGAATGCCAAGGTATTAGCTACTGATATAATTCCAAACCAAACTCACTGCCATTGAGTTGATTTCGACTCATAGCATTCCTTCCTTGGGTTTCTACAGAAGTAGAATGCCCACCTTCCTTCTAAGGAGCAGCTGGTGGGTTTGAACTACCACCCTTCTGGTCAGCAGTCAAATGCCTTAGGCACTATGCCAGCAGAGCGCCCACTGATATAATTAGTTACTGATATAATTTGATGTGGTTGCTCCTAATGCTGGCTTTCTCTTTTAATGGACTGGTCAAAGGCAAAAGAATCCCAACTATTACTTTTTGTTTCTCTCAGACAGATTTATTACTGTTAACTAAAAGCATATTATGTAACAGTAGGCATGCAATATCCATCAATATAAGGTAAGTTACAGCCTTGGCCCAGTAGATTCTTTGGTCTTCTTAATATATTTTATTCAGTTGTGCCATTTAACATCAGGTGCAGGCAAAGAGAAATTGGAGTTTGAACATGAGAGAGTTAGAATCAGAGAATAAGAATTAGAGGTCACTGCTAATAAGTTGATATATAGACTAATATTCTTTCAGTATTCTGATCATTCTTTTCTTTGGTTCAGTTTTACAGTTTCTGTGCAAGGATTCCTACTCAAAATGGCCTTTGTTTGTTTTTGTTCTCCTTTTAATCATAGTTCTTACCTATCATTTTCAACCACAATATAAAATATATTTACAATAAAGCCTGTAATTCATTGCTATGTTGTTATTGTTGTTGTTGTTATGTGCCATTGAGTTGGACCCGACTCATAGCGACCCCTCCTTGGGTTTCCAAGGCAGTATCCCCATTTTCCTTCCGAGGAGTGGCCGATGGGTTTGAACCACCAGCCTTCTGGTTAGCAGTCAAGTGCCTTAGGCACTA